GAGAAACACTGGCCTAGAGCCTCACATCCAGGCTGGGAGCTTGGGCTCCTCATGCCTTTCCTGCATAAATCAGGAAAGCAGCCTGGTCAAAGGGTTGCACTTCCGATCTAGAGGAAAACGTGGGATTCCTGTGAAAATCAAGCAGGTTTTTTGAGGGTTAAGCTGGACCTCGTCCATCGTGTTCACTTGGCTTCACAAAACCCTTTGTGTTGCAAAGGGCCTGGCAGGCATTGCAAGTGTTACATACACACATAAATACACGCACCCGTGCTTGTGTGCCCATCAAGGATTCTCTTTTGAAGCAAGCATCCTTAGGCAAAGCAGGGAAGGGGTTACCCGTTGACGTTCCAGTCATCGTTAGTCATTTTGCTCTTCCGCTGCTGAGCGGGATAGTAGACCCCCGGAACCCCAGTTCTCTCTGTCCTCAGAAGGCGCGTCTCAGCGGTTTTGTGCAGTGCTCGAATGCGGTGCACGCACCCAACGCAGCCACGCCAAAGGCGGCGTTGCCACCGAGCATCGCAGGTTCCGTGTGGATCCATCTCCTTTCCATGTGTCCACTCTCCCTCTCCTGGTCCCTCCCCTTTAAAAAGTGCAGGGCCATATTTTTATCCCCGGACATTTACTTTTCATCCATTTGTTAAAGCCCCCGGGAGCCCGTGGTGGCCGAGTCTGACCAACACCAGCCCCAAGTATCGAACCAGACTTTGTGCATGACTCTCTGGCAGGGGGGAAGGGGCACTGTGGGAAATTCAAGAGGTCCTGGGAAACATTTCCAAATGGACACAGACTTCGGCAGTTCCCAAAGCAAACAGGTTTATGCGAAACAGAGACATTTACCTCACCACCCTGTCCCAACAAGACCCTGATTTGGGGCCTACGAGCTACTGGTTTTTTTTGCAAGGCAGTTTCTACAATCAACAGAGTTGCTAGACAGCGTGCTTCCTTTCTACAAAAACGGGGTTTCCTCTTCCCTGCACGGAGAAAGGCAGCGTTTTAGGAAGACCTACTAGCCAGACTAGACTGTTGTTGGGGTTTCCACGGGAGAACGCTTAGCTAGGGAAGCCTTGCCCGTAGAGAGAAACGCCGCAGTCCGGCAAAACCATCTCTCGCCTGAGTCTCTACGTGCTGCCTAAAGTGACCCTTGGGATACTTCTAAATCTTGGGCTGCTCGGCCTTGTCTCTGCCAACACCGGCAGGCCTGTCTGCCTACTGAAATCTGAGGATAGTATTGAATGGAGGGGTGGGTAGTCATCGAAGTAGGAACTAATGGATCAGCCCCTTGTGGTCTTATCTATTGTTCTGATTTTCATTTCTTTTTTTTGGATCCCACTTTTCTAATTTAAAAAAGAAACTCTGGAAGGATTAAATAGCTACAGGCTGTCTTTCTGCCCCCCCCCCCAATTAATTCCCTGTCTGAGAATGCAAGGTTACTAGGACTTGTACAAATTATGCCTAACTTACCCCAGAAAAAGTGTTAAATCAGGTTAGGAAAATAAAGGATAAGACAGCTGTGGGTTTTATTTCTTGCCAAGATGTCCCTCTTGGTGGATCAGGCTCAGCATCTCTGGCCCGTGTGGTGCCCTTTGCTTCATAAGCACAGGACGAGCATTCCCTGCGCAAACATAAGAAGTCATAGTATTTGCACCGAGTGCCCCAGAAGGCCAACAAACAACGCCAGCCAGAACGGGTGTGGGGGTGCTGTGGCTTCGCTGGCGGTCTTACCTTCATAATCTGAATCACAGAATAATCCATCTTGATGTGCAACATAGAAGGCAGTGGGATGCCAATGTTCAGGCTTTCTGAAATGGCAAACAGAGCGGGGCTTTGACTTTTCTGGGTCCTGGCATCGCCCCAGGGCCTTTGGTGGCCTTCAGTGCCAACCAGCTGTCTGGGGCTGCAACCTTGCCCTCCTGCTAACCAGCGCTGGTACAATGGTGCTTCCTCCCCACAGAGGGACTGAACCCATCTTACCATTGATATAGGGCATGTATGTTTCTTTTATGAGCAGCTTGATCCACTTCACAAGACCAGAGACCTGAAAGAGAAAGCAGAGGTTGCAGTGACCAGCTGGTAGAAAGTGACCGGATCATGACCAGGAGATTCAGGGTTTTAGGGGTGCCTTAAGAGGCAGAGGTTGTCCATGCAAAAGGTTCTTGGGGAGTGGGGGCTCTAGCAGTGAGTAGTTCATCCTTCCCCAGCCAGGGGTATGTGTTGAATGACAACTCTTGTCCCCTCCAGCCCACTTGAAATGGGAAGCACCAACTGTCACATGAGCATTGACTGTTGCGCTCACAAGATAAAAGCAAATGAGTTCCTGACTTGCGTGAACCTTCTCAATGCGAGTACAAGTCCTCTATT